AAAGGAAGATAACGGTGTGAAGAGATAGCAATAAGAGTCCATGGGATGATGACTGAGGCAGAGATGATATGACGAGGAATGAAAGTTAGAGATGGGAAACGAGGAAACGAGTGATTGCGGGACGTTATGAAAGAAGATTAAGATGGAAATCGCCGAGAGAGACAACGAAGACGACGAAGACGATGAAGACTGACAAGACGGACCATTCGTGAGACGAACTTTATGCACCCTATTTAGGTTACCTTTGCGGGAAGGGAGGTGGCCTATTGAGACATTGCGCGGTTTTATTAATTAATGACTTTATCATTTGTGTCGGGCTGTGTTTACTTTGTATCGTCGCACCATTGTATTGTCAAAGTTATTTCTTTTATGTATCCTGCGTCGCACGTCGTGAGTGTGTAAATCATGTGTCATGATTTTGTGTAGTGGTTGATGTACGCGGGTATACGATGTTTGCAGTTAGTATTAAATTTAATGAATCAGTAAACAGAAACAAGTCGTAGCGTCTCTTACTTCCCGGCCCCAGCACGAATTCCTGTATGTGGAAAGTGATTGAGACACGTAGCCAAGAGGGAACCGAATAGAAAAAGGGTTGAGTGTTCTTCCCTCTCTTTGGCGATCGGGTGGCGTAGCGGGGAACGTCTCACCAGTATTCTAAGAGAACGTGTTGTTGGGCTAGTTGGTAGAGCATTTCGAAAAGTTAATTCGAGTGCGAAAACTTGACACGATCACTCACACACGCACACACCCATGCATCAAACACACAGCGCTCACTTCCAACTGATTTATTCATAGCTCGAAGGCTTGAATATATTCAGGACACATTGTGCGCACACACACCAAAAGAAGGCCAACAGCATACATTATCAAAACGTACAGTTAATCAATGTCACAGCCTTAGAGCGATAAACTGAAGTTCGCTTAATAGCAACAAAATTGAAGGGGCGCTTACACAGTGATCTTTATTTTTTTCAATTAAAAAGGCTTCCAACACTTCACGTGCAGTTTTACTTGCGCTTCTGCCCAGTATCTTCGTTTCAGAAAATCGTGCGTCACAACCACACGAGATGACATGCGCAACCAGGTGCGCATACTTGTCATCTCTTTTCGTTAATTTTTGGGCGTGTTCTCTTAGTCGGTCATTAATACACCGTTCGGTTTGGCCAATGTTCACTTTTCCGCAGGATAAGGGTATGGAGTACACAACCCCCATGGAACACTTAACAAAAGCCCTCTCATGTTTCTTCTGACAGCCGCGCTTCTTTCTATCGCACACACTTTGGCACAGTTTTCGAATTTTTTTTCTTGTGTGGAAAACACCATCGGTACGCCGTGCCTGGCCGCGACTTTCTTAAGGTTGTGCGAGACCTTATGGATATATGGCACAACTTGTGGCCTAATCCTTAAGGGCTGGGTAGCAGTCATCGCTTCCCGTGTTCCTCGTTTAAACTTCTGCAGAAGTGATTCAGCAACGGCCGTAATGACCGATCGAGGGAACCCAGCAGCCTCTAGTCGGCTCACCTGATTAAGGAAACTAAGTTTCATGCTGTGTGGGCACGACCTTTTTAGCGCTGATTTTAAGCAAAGAGACGCAACGCCCCTCTTCACAATCTTTGAGTGGGCAGAATCGTACGGCAACAGCTGCTTCTCAACACGAGGATTATAAGACCAGCAAAGATGCTCATCGTTCCACGTGAGGCTTAAGTCTAAAAACTGCAGACAAGCTTCTTGAGGCAATTCAACAGTAAAGGAAAGCCCTCGTCCTAGTCTTATAAAAACGTTTAAAACAAAATCAGGGGATGTAAGGTCACCCTGTTTATCTAAAAGAATTAAAAAATCGTCAACGTACCTAAAAACCTTTAAAAGGTGTTCTCGCGTGAGAGACACTTACTGCGTCATTTAACCCCACCCTTCACTCTCCTTCAATTCAAGAATCTCTTCCCGCTCAGGCGCTGCGCAGTGCTCCCTACCGGGCTGCAGAAATTAGACGCCTTCTTCCTCTTCTAACCACTTCAACCACTGTTCGCTGGCTGGGCGCTTCTCAAAAAATAAAGTGCCTACCTAAAATATACTTCGCATTTCCTCACGATTCCCTTCGGGAAGGGGGGCTTTTTTTTTAATTGGTTGATTTAATTCTAGCAGGAAGTGTGCTCTGCCACCCCACGCGCGTCTCTCCGTCAAGTTCGCTTCGCCAAACAGCAGTGGTGTTTCACAGAGAAAATGCCTTTTTATTCTTGTGTCGGACGTTTTGAATTATAATTGCTGCCTCCTATCTCTGCATCAATCGGTGCGCGTGAAAACGTGGCGTATCACCCACTCGCATTAACCAAAACGCTTCCTAGTCCTAAATAGCGCACGGGCTTCCGGTGCGTGACGCGTGGTGGCGTGACAAATCCTCTTGCTGCTCAAGTTGTGGTGTAAGCTCCGGGGTCTGTCAACATGAGTGGGGGGTTTCCTTTTGTCGTTTTTTTATCAAACGTTTTCATCAATTTAGGGTCTTATTTATAGTTTGCAGAGGTGATTGGCTTTGTGACTATTGTCACTATGGTCTCTTTTTTTTTTACATTAGAGGCAGTCAAACAAACTCGAAGTAAACAACAAGGGGCATGCAGTTTCATCAGGAAGCAACCGCGCATTTGTTTCTGTGCAATTGAAATACATTGTGCAACTGAAATAAACAACGTGTAAAAAATACAGGTGTTTACAAGTTTGACAATGTTGCTTGAACATGCAGATCAACATGATACTCTCGACTGATTGTTTTTTACAATTAACTGAAGAAGCTCAGTATTCTACAAGAAAAATATTTGCAGGCCTCAGGTGTTCTAAATAATTTAATAAAGCGGTGTTTTTCTGCCAATAACTTTTGTTTTGTTTTTGTGATGTGCATATAATTATCGTGACGTCATGACGCGAAGGGTTGTGACGTGAGAGCAGGAAATAACATTTTTTTTTTACATTTTCTTCAGTGCATTCAATGACCTGTTGCACAAACCTCCAGCTTTTGCCTAAATGCTTTTATTTATTTGTTTTAGCTCCTTTTTACACTGCTATGGAGTCTCCAATGTCATTTTGAGAACCAAGCTTTCTGGGCCATATATTGGTTAAACATATAAAAATAAAGCGAGCATTAGTGTTTCAATGTTTATTAAGTATTGTTCGTCACTGTCACACTGAAAGAGATCAACTTTATTAACGCTTACTGTATATAACTGAGTTATTTTCACGTCAAATGTTACCTAGTGGAACGAGACACAGCTTATCTCTTCATCATGCACAGACGGCGTAATCAGATCTTGTGTGTCATAACCTTTTGGCCCCGGTGTCGTCAATTGACGACACCACACAACATTTCTCCTAAACCCTCGAAAACGAAACCAAACGTGCTTATTCTTGGAGAAGTATTTCTTCAACTATCCCGACTGCAATCGACATCACTGACATTTCATTTTTGTGGAGCTTAGAGCCATGAAGAAAAAGCTTGACCGAGGTCATAAGTGACAACAAGGCGGCCAAGCAGGGGAGGGATGAAAGGGCAATCCTACAAGACTTACTTGACATCAAGCCAAACACTCAACAGATAAATCAAGATGTTTCAGTAAGGTATCAGAATATGTAGAAGAAAACATGATGCCAAGCCTCTATTTAATATTCATAGATAAATGGTGATGGATGCAATAGAGAATTGATTGATTGATTGATATGTGGGGTTTAACGTACCAAAACCACTATATGATGATGAGAGACGCCGTAGTGGAGGGCTCCGGAAATTTAGACCACCTGGTGTTCTTTAACGTGCACCCAAATCTGAGCACACGTTCCCTACAACATTTCCGCCTCCATCGGAAATGCAGCCGCCGCAGCCGGGATTCGAACCCGTGCCCTGCGGGTCAGCAGTTGAGTACCTTAGCCACTAGACCACCGCGGCGGGGCTGCAATGGAGAATTGTGGTACTAACAGAGTAAGGACGTTTATGGAGATTAAGTTACCCACTGTAATGCCTGAGGCGCAGACTGCCCTTTTGTCCGGATGGGTAAAACGCATGATGACGGGTTTTTCACCATTGAAAAATTGTTTTAGAGACATTTTTGTCACCACTTTTCGTGAAATGTTCTTAGATTTTGATTCAAAATTCAATGCTTTGTGTTTGACTTAAAGAAGACAGTTTAAAAAGGCACTTATCAGTATATCAAGCAAAAATAATTGAAACTCATTATAATATAATTGCCATAATTACCCAAAATATGTGCATCAAGTCGAAGACCATAACTACTCGCCCAACCACACAAAAAGAGAAAGGCTTGGCAATCTTATAGCTATGTACTTGGGCTGTGCAATGAATTGAAATCTTTGCACTGACATTAATATTACATATATTATAACCCAAAAAAATCAAGAATTCTGTCATTTCATAAGGTTCTATTCCAATAGAATTGTTATACTGACATAAAAAATTATTCAGCTCTTTTAATTGAACTAACTTTTTGCACAAGTTAATGTCTGATCAAGAAGCATGGAGAACTTCATTGGAAAATATTGACGTGTCGAAAAGTTGCAAGCTTTTGTGCTGGACAAAACAACAAAAACTCAGGTCCTAAGAAAAACGAGAATAAACTTTTTCTAGCAATTCACTTTTGGTTTAAGAGCAGTCACGTAAAAGGCCATACCTTTTGAACAAAACCAGATAAAGATGTCATTTTTTCTGCACGACAATTCTGAATGCATGTGTATATTCCTGGAATGTAAAAAAATAAAAATTAACAAAAAATGTCATTCTACATGGTGGCGACATACCTTAAAGCGAAGGAACATCGAATGTCTAAGTGCAAAAGCATAGATAAGTTTCAGGACGTGCATGTGTTCATTGATCACTAATGTAGCCCATATTAGTTCTGAAACACCTCTGTGTTTTTTCCCCTTGACCTGGTCAACAGATGCAACTTCATGATTATCCTCAAATATGATTATCCTCAAAAAAGATATTTGTCTGTTTGTTCTAGGACTCAAAGGCACTGTTCCACAGCCTCCTCAGTGGTTGCCAGGACGACAGTGACAGCGACGGCTCCAGCCCGGACTCACCGCCGTCCCCCAACAAGGGTGCAACCACAAACGGGTCACCATCACCGGCACTCAATTCGGTACTTAATTCAGGTGGGCACAATGCTCAATATGTGCTCGATTAGCCTTCAACTGGATGGCGTGTTTGCTGTAGTGTAGGTTCATCATGTCGTGACAATTTTCACCATGTCGTGAAAATTGTTAGAAGCTCATGCAAGTGTATCTGATTGGCTATTGAGACCACGTGGTACTTTAAATCTAGCACTAAATATGCAACTCTACGTGAACATTGGCATTTTTTTAGTGTAGAAATCCACATATAGAAATGCACTGTCGGCCGCATAAGCTTGTGGAATCTGCAGCATGTGAAGGAGCAGCGGAAAACTGCATTGCTGCATTGCTTATCGAGACACGGTGTACTGTTGAGATTATTGGCCGCTGCCTCCATGTTTAGACAACGCACCACTGCAAATCGCCAAGGATGTGAGCGATAATCTCAACATTATGTTGCGTCCCAGTAGCTGACGCATCAATGCAGTTTTCCACCGCTCCACCAACTTTTGCAACCAACAGTACTTACATTCAGCCATGTATTTCGTTCGAAAGCGTTATATTCCACATGGAGCAAAAAACCCAATGTCCGTCGAGCAAGCAGTGTGGCAAGAAAAGTTGCATGACCCGACTTCACAAGACATGGAAGTCAAACCAGTACGGACGTTGCTGTAGTTATCCAACACATTACGCCTGTTGCATTTGATGCGATTGAGGAGGCTTGGGTGTCTCCATAGTTTTTGTGATCACCACACTACCTCTCTAAAAAGTAAAAAAAAAAATGTTTGAGCTTGTACTTTAGTTGCATAGTATCAAGCATGTACCCAGTGGTACATAACATACGACTGTGCTATCTCTGGCACTGGTGCAGAAAAACGAGATGGTATAGACTTGCATAAATGTGTTGGGCTTGGAGGAGAATGTGTTGCATTGAGATGTCCTTAGTTAGCAATGTTTCAATCTACTTTTTTTTTTCTGGAGTGTAAATACTTGTCTCTGCGTTCTCCTTCGCAGGTTCTGTAGTGTCTTCGGCAAGCAGCGTTACCAACCCAGCTGACCTTGCACCTATTTATCGCATCGGCGGACAGCCTGTTGTATCTCTAGCAGGTGAGGTGACCAAATGTACGCAGGCTTATGAAAAGTCAAATGCAGCCATCTGCTGTGACGAAGTCTAAGATGAAAATGCCTTTGTAAGATCTAACAAACTTAGTAACCAGGGGTGTTGTTGGAGGAATAAAATCACTAGTTAAATAGTAGTAAACATGGAATTATAATAAACATGGAAGCTATAATTTCCTGTGATTTAACTTATTGCCAACATTTAGCCAACATTCCAGTGCATGGACATAGTAAGCATGTAAATGTGATTGGCTTCACACAAACAATGTGCTTCTTGCCCGTGCATACTCTTTATGCTAATGTATTAAAATTAATTTGTTGTTCAGTATATGCAAGAAAAAAAAACGTTATGCCCCCACCATAAGAAAACCTTGATAGCCTGTTTGCTCTTAGCTGTGCCAATACGGGGTGTATGATCGACGTTTTCCATTCATAAATAAGCATCCGTGCTATCAGTATGGTCACACAGGATAAAGACACTGGCTTGGTAACTGCTGGCCAGTCAAGACATGCCACTGGCTACGAGGCTTGCACACAATAATAATGTGTCATTTCAAGTTGCTCCCTGCTGACTAGTTCACATCTTTACCAACAGCATGTAGAATTGAGCAGCGTGCAAAGAAATTCTTTCATTGCTGCGACAAATATTGCATCAGATCTTGCATTTTCAGTTTTGTTGTTGCAGTTGCATACTCTTTGAAATAAAAAATGTGCAAGCAGATTTAGGAGTTGCATTGTTATGTTTGATAATTCTTTGCATCCACTTTTACTGTGTTGATAAGAAACAGTAAACTTAAAGGACAACAGAAAAAAATACAATGCCTTAAAGTGATGGTGCAGTTGCTAATCGGAATTCTGTATCGACTTTGTTTTTTTCTTATCAAAGTGCTGCTTCAGAGTTGGAAGTTATTCGTTCATACCTTGACCTGGCTTGCCAGGTGCCGTCGCCGGAGGTGCGTCGAGTAGCGGCTGCAGCCCAGCCACAGTCACGGTGTTGCCCGGTTCCCAGTCGTCCCTGGGAACCCTCATGTACCAGACGCCGCAGGGGCTGTTGTACGCCGCCCCGCCCGGCGGCTCCCTGCCCGAAGCGTTGCTGCTGAACCTCGGCCAGCCGGTCTCCCTCAAGACAGAAGGAGGCACGTGCCTACTCGTTGATCCTCACTTCGAACAGGGCACAGATCTAGGGGAGGCGTCAAGCTCATATAAGTTTCGTGCATAACGGCGGCATGCAGCTTGCAACAAGCTCTTTTCTTTTTCTCGGATCTTGTTTTGTTCTGGAAAAGCAGGAAATATTTAATGAATGTCAAACACCTTTTTTATATCTTAACAGATTTCAGTCGTCGCGTCGTACGTGGAAAACCAGTGCCTGCAAGCATACCAAAATGCACTGGTTACACGCGTATAAGCACACGCCGCTTCCCAATAATTGATGCCCTCTCAATTATGAGCTTGCAGGCAATCAGGCATTTCTTAAATGGCGATCTGATCCTTTATCGAAGTCGCTTGTCATTTCACGTTGCCACCTTTCATTGCTGCTGGGATGTGGGCGCATAGCAGTCCCTCGGTCATTGCCAGCAGCAAATGAAGTTATTGCGCCACAGGGCATGTGGATGAAGAAGGTGCAGTTCACGGCTTGGAGGAAGTAAAACGGTTAGAAGCGAGCATTGTTCTATGCGATAGAAAAAAAAATAGTAGGCCAAGCGCCCGCGTGCCCAAGTTTTGCTTGCCCCCAGTTTTCCAATTTGGACAAGGGCTCGTGAACCTTCTCAAGGGAAATTCGCCAGCATGTAAAAAAGAGGTTACTGACATGAAAGCTCGCCACCACCGCCACTTGCCATTCCAAAGCCAGACCACCCGCCTGCCCTCCTTTTTTAACAAAAACCTGGATATGCACCTGTCCTTGACGACATTGTCTCAACAAGTTCTACACTCGTTAGCAAAAGCTGTGGGTCACATTAGGCAGCAGGCAGTGAAAAACTCGGACAGAAACTCGTCTGTTGTCTACCAGAAATGCTCATGTTTACTTGCAATAAGGGTTTCGCCGTAGGATCAATAGATGTATTAGTGGCGTGCACTAAACAACCCTTCCTTCTTCCGCTATTGAAGTGCACAGGTGGTTCTTGTTTGAAATTGACCTAAGGATATGATGCTAAGGTGACGAGATCTGCAGTTATTAAATTGGCTGGATTGCATGAAACAAGTCAATGCTTTCTGCCTTGAATAATTTACATCAGGCGATATATATGTGTAGTATGCCATACGACAGTAATTGAAATTTCACCGAGATAATGATAAACTATATGAATATTATTTCATCTTATCGCACACACACACTCTTTACTGTTACCATTGCTTAGAAGAAATTATTTGAAGACAGTGTAAAATGTGTGCCTGCATGCATGGGAAGTGGGTTTCACTTATTGTTGAGATACTTAAAAAAAAAAATGTAATGTGTGGTACGCCTGTTTGCAGACTGTCCCACGCAGCAGTATATCACGATCCCAGTCCCAGTGTCAATGGCACAGCAACAGGTAAGTCTTTTTCCTCGGCATTAGAGCACGCTGCATTTTTTTCGGAGGTGCACTCGCAAGAACCGAAAGACATGAAATTCTAGTGTCACGCTCCATGCATGCAGAAGGCTTTTCTATTGTAGGACAATCAGTTTACGCTTTAACAGGCCTGCTACGATGGCATCCTGTTCGTGTACTTTGCGCTGCACTGCACAGATGTTTTTAGTTTATCTGTGGCCTCTTTGGCCCAAGTATAAAAGCATTTGCAATACACTGTCCTCACTCGGATGCTCAACTCATTTTTGCTATTTCTGTGCACTATTGGCAAGAAACCACAGACACTGAGCTAAAGGTGAATTACACATTTTTGTTGCTTGATGTTTCCTTATAGCACCCCCTGGTTGAATACTTTGCCACACCCGATCACTTTGGTGAAAGCACCATGTTTAACAAGACGTTGGCTGTGGGGTGCTTCAGCAGAAATAGAAAAAAATTTTTACCTTTTTAGAAATTTACATTGACAGCAGATAAGCCTCGCATGTAATTTGAGTGGCTCGTTGAATTCGGTTCATGAGGAACTGTAGCATGACTGACTGCACAATTACAATTACTGTTCTTCCACTTGCTTCAAATTTGGTCTTCAGAACCTTGGTATCAAATTATGTGAATTTTGCACATTTCATCATCATAATAATCATCAGCTTGACTACGTCCACTGCAGGACAAAGGCCTCTCCCATGTTCCGCCAGTTAACCCGGTCCTGTGCTTGCTGCTGCCAATTTATACCCGCAAACTTCTTAATCTCATCTGCCCACCTAACCTTCTGTCTCCCCCTAACCCGCTTGCCTTCTCTGGGAATTCAGTTAGTTACCCTTAGTGACCAGCGGTTATCCTGTCTACGCGCTACATGCCCGGCCCATGTCCATTTCTTCTTCTTGATTTCAGCTATGATATCCTTAACCCCCGTTTGTTCCCTAATCCACTCTGCTCTCTTCTTGTCTCTTAAGGTTACACCTACCATTTTTCTTTCCATTGCTCGCTGCGTCGTCCTCAATTTAAGCTGAACCCTCTTTGTAAGTCTCCAGGTTTCTGCTCCGTAGCTAAGTACCGGCAAGGTACAGCTGTTGTATACCTTTCTCTTGAGGGATAGTGGCAACCTACCAGTCATGATTTGAGAGTGCTCGCCAAATGTGCCCCACACCCATTCTTATTCTTCTAGCTACTTCAATCTCGTGGTTCATCTCTACGGTTATTACTTGTCCTAAGTGGACATATTCTTTAACAACTTCCAGCGCCTCTCTTATGTATCACTAAGTGCTGTTTTCTGCCAAGATAGTTGCACATTACTTTGGTTTTCTGCAGATTAGTTTTAAGACCTACTTTTCTGCTCTCCTTGTCTAACTACGTAATCATGAGTTGCCATTCGTCCCCTGAGTTACTCAGCAATTCAATGTCATCGTCGAAGCGCAGGTTACTAAGGTACTCTCCTTTAACTCTTATTCTTAACTGTTCCTATTCTAGGCCTCTGAAAACCTTCTGTAAGCCCGCAGTAAATAGCATCGGGGAGATTGTATTCCCCCGCCTTACACCCTTCTTGCTTGGTATTCTTTTGCTTTCTTTATGAAGCACTATGGTAGCAGTTGATCCCCTGTAGATTTCTTCCAGGTTGTTTATATATGCTTCGTCGAAGCCCTGATTATGCAGTGTCAGCATGACTGCTGATATTTGAACATTTATGGAGAGCCAATTAAAATGCGCATTGAGGGGATATTAAAAGTCGGCTAACATCGTCTTTTCCCCTTGCAGGCTGGTTCCGCATCATCTAGCTCATCGTCCAAGAGAGAACGAACCGGCAAATAGCCCAGAAGATTGGAAGTTAATAAAGAAAGTGCGATTACAGATGTGCCGTCGTGATTACGGCAGTGGCTTCTTCTTGGTCTACACGAGCCAGCCTTGCACTAGCCGTGCCATCATGACAGTACCTGACAAGGCAGAACAGCCGGCCAAAACTCTTTTTGCATTTGGTGATTACCATAAAGATGGAGTATATTTTGAATGCCTACTCAGGTCATTTGACTGCAGTGGCAATAAAGCTTTTATGACACGTCACTCTTGTGCAGCATCGCCTTGTGTTGTTTCATGTGTTAAAACGCAATAGAAGGTTGGGTTTGACTCATAAAATGAAAAGGCACTAAAAGGTGACACAGAATAAAATGCACGGGACTATGCACCACAATTACTCGGTTACAACCATAAAAAAAAAAACGTGTGGCATTTCCTTTGCCTGCTTAGGCAGACTGTTTGGCGGTAAAGTTTGTCGCAAGTTTGAAGCAAGTCGACGGGCACTACTTACGCAGACACTACTTAGTGTATGATGTACATGTAAAAGGCACAAATTTCTCGCACGAGAAAATGCAAACATTAAACAAGTTTAAGTGTTTCATCGGTGTGGGCCGCATCTTATCTCAAAAGAGCTTCCTGTAGAAAAGTTTCATTATTCTTGCATCGAAAACATGGATTCAATTATGGGGGCTACATTTACTAGCGGCAGCATTCACACAATTTTTCTCTGCAGCATTTGCTTCATTAAGAAACATTGCCCATGACTATAGCAGTGAATAATAGCGGTAAGTATCTACAACCATTCTTTCGAGAAGGAACTTGACCCAACGAAGATAAGCATTGTCAGAAATTCATTTTCTTCTTCTTGTTGGGAAGGTTGGCACAACAATTTGACATTTTAAACAGCACAAAATGAGAAGTATGGTAAATCGATACCGTGCACACTAGTTTTTTTGTTCTCATCTTGTTACAGAGTTTAAAGGGATACTAAAGGCAACTATTAAGTTGACGTTGATTGTTTTAAATAGCAGTCCAGAAACCTTGTAGTGTTACTTTTGTGCTAAGGAAGGGCCTATTTTGAAATAAAATCATTTTAGTGGTCCGCATCGGGTTAGCGCACTTCAAATTACCCTCCTCAAGAAGCAAACCAACCGGACCAATTCACATCACTGTTGCCGTGCACAACGTCGCCCGGCTTTACTGCGCTAGTAGCAGCTGACCTAAAGCAGCGGGAGCCACAGCAGCAACGGTCATTGATAATTTCCCGCTATTGGCTTAGAGATTTGCAGACGTTTTTTGTTTCAACTGCGCCTCGCTAGATGGCACCACCTATCTCGTGTAACCACGTGATAATTAAATTTTTGAACCACTCGCGCCATTTCCCATAGTAACGTCTGGCAGTTCTTTTTTCCATGAATCAAACAAACGAACAAGCAGCATATTATTGTGTCTCTTGATGTGCGGAAGACTGTTTATTTAGTGCAGTTAGATAGATTACTAGTGATTAATTGTAAGTGGTCCTTCTGATGTCATCGTGATCATTTTGAAAATGTCCTACTGCGGTGCTTGTGTTTTTGTGCATTTACTTTAATTTCTCGGTAAGTTGGGCTTGTTGATAATATTGTCGTTCTAGATTGAGCTTTCACTCTGACGTAAATTGTTATTTGACTTTAGTGTCCCTTTAACAAACTCTCAATATACAGGCAAATGTTTTCCTTGTTCATCTTCTGCTGATCAATTATTGAATGTCGAGCTTCATCACAACCAGTGAATAAATTTCAACAATATTTATTCAAATGTGCAATAAAAAAGGCTTCATTGACACCGCGATGCTCCAGGAGATGACGGCTAATGTCTGCACAATCGTATTCACTATGAAAAGATTGATAAACACGATGGCAATGGGTATATTACACATGGACACTGTTGCAGCATGCAAGACCACTCAACGATCATGATGCATGCGTTTGCTTCGACTCCTGCTGTCCGAGTCGTGGCGGGATGATGATGACTGGTGATCGCGAGAACGCTTGTGGCTCCTGTCCTTTTCTTTCCGTTCGTCTCTGCAATCTCTCTCGCTACTCCTTTCCCGATACTCGTCCCGGTGACTCCTCCTGTCCTGGTCTCTGTGATTGCTTCTGCGAATGTCTTCATGCCTACCTCTGCGGCTATCAGTGTATCTGTCGTCCCTGCGTCCATCACTGCGGCTGTCCTTGCGGTCATCCCTGTACCTGTCTTTATGGCCTTCCGTCTTTCTGTCCTTCTGGCTTCGCTCGCTTCGTTCCTTTTGCTTGGCATCTTTCCCGCCTTCTCCCTCGTCGTCGCTCCACACTAGGTCATACTGACCCCCAGCACCGCCACGTCGTGCCGTGTCCTTCAGCTCGTAACGGGCACCTTTGGACATCTTATCGCCTTTGTCATCATTGATGTGCTCGACCCCGCGACCTTTTCCTTTCCATCGCAGCTTTGCCACCGACTGACTGAAGTCTACGTGGATACGCCGGTCGTCGATCAGGACGTTGTCCATCTTGAAGTAAGCGTTCTCGCAGTGTTCGCGCTGCTCGAACTCGACGAAGGCATACTGAAGCGAATCGCCCGTCTTGCGGTCCCGGATGACCTCGCAACTCTTGACAGGTCCGAAACGGCTGAAGATGATCTCCAGGTCTTCGTCCGTAGTCACCGGATTGAGCTTACAAACAAAGAGCACATTCTCCGGGGGCGCGGCGTCCGCGTCTGGCAAATCGCCGATCATCTCGAGCACCGTAGCTCTCGCTCTGGCTTCCTTGGCCTTGATCTCTTCCTCGATCTCCTCCATGCTGCGTCCCTGAGTGTCATCGACGATTTCGTGAGCGCCGATGCGGTCGCTGCGTAGCATCTCGAGCGTCGGCTCGGGCGATGCATCCGGGAATTCCAGCCCCGCCGGATCGTCGAAAGGGTCGTGAAGGACCACGGTGTGGCAGATGCGAATGTCCTGGTAAGGCCGACCCTCGCTGTCGCATACGGCGGCGTTGATTCTCTCGAGCGCATCGAAGCCCTCGGCGACGCAACCGAAAACGCTGTGCTGGCCGTCGAGCGAGTCCAAGTTCTCTCCCAACGTTATGATGAACTGCGAACCGTGGAGGCCCTCGTCGCTGCCCACCATGGACAGGGTGCCGAGCTTGAGGTGCTTCAGACGAGGCTTCTTCTCCATCTCGAAGTAGCGCGCCTGGTCACCGTACAGCTTGGAGAACACGGACTCGCCGCCACGTCCGGTGCCGCTCGGGTCGCCCGACTGGGCGACGAAGTTTTGCTCAACCTTGTGGAATAGGCTGAGGTTGTAGTACTTGAGCTTGCACAGCTTGAGGAAGTTGAGGCACGTCCGAGGTCGCTCCGTCGTGTACAGGTCGATCGTCAGGTCGCCCAACGTCGTCTCGATCACGACAGCCATGTCTCTAGACGACGCGAGCTCTTGGTGGCTTTCGAAGCCTTCAACACTCCGCCAAAATATATTCAATTTCACTCACGTTCAGATATTCATAACAAACGACTGACCGGCGCAACGCTTGCGATATCGCCATTGGAGTACGTCTAAATAAAACCCGCGAACAGGTTTATTATGACGGGCATGATGTCAATAGCGGTGACGCAAGCCAAAGGGACAAAAGCACTGCTTGTTTATCACGCGGAATTTTGTAAATTATTCAATGATAAAAGCATTCTCTTTCTTTGGTGAACAGATTTCAAGCAACTATAGGCCACAGCTCTTACGACTACGTTAATCGAACATCATATAAAATCGGGCAAGGTTCCTTTTGGCGTTGCATAAGTTAGTTGCCAGACTTTAAAATGGTTGTTGCCAGACTGCCACTAAATTTTGTTAAAAAATTTTTTTTCTGTAGTTGTGGTTTTTTTGTAAGAGTTTGGTGCCATCCGCGGTGCATTTCGCGAGTGCATGAGCGACGCTGGCCATTTTAATTAACGGAATGAACCGAGCCTAGCAAAAGTCGATCGTAGTGCTGCCGTGCAATTAAAAGGCCAATTTAATTAACGAAATGAATCGCGCCTAGCAGAAGTCGAATTCGTTTTAATTAACGGAATGAACCACGCGTTACAGAATTCGTTTCATTCCCCGTCATCCCTAATACTGGGACGCGATATTTTAATCGCACAGCTGCGCACACAGCAAGAGAACGCGCCTCGACTTCTGCTAGGCGCGGTTCATTCCGTAAATAAAACGAATTCTGTAATGCGCGGTTCATTCCGTTAATTAAAACGGCCAGCGTCACTCGTTTGCGAAATGCACCGCGGATGGCACCAAATTCTCAGAGAAGCCACAACTACAAAACAAAAATTTTGCAGTCAAATTTAATGGCGGTTTCGCAACACTGACCCTTCCAGTCTGGCAACCACTTATGCAACGCCAAAAGGAACCTTGCAATCGCGTTACTCCAACAGCGGCTTGTCTGCTTTACCACGAATAAAAGAAAACATTACTACATCGCATGTGCTTCGACTACGAGTTAACACTGAGAGAACGGAAGGCCGACACACTAACCTGTGCACCAAAGAACAGTCCAACCTTGTCGTTCACCAACACACCAAAAAGGTGGAAAAAAAAAGAGAGAGAACAGTCACGCATGTACCACTTCCCACTAATACGCACGGGCCACGTGCTTGGGGAACTGGAGGATGCTATTTGCACGCTGTAAAGATATTTTCACAGTACAGTACGACATCGAAGTACTGCCCTATGTGGGTAGGTGCAACGACTGACAACGTCAGCTTGCTACAATGTGCGTACTTGCATCTTATATATACCCATAAACTTAGGCCGCTGTTTGGCACCGGCGAATTGCTGCTTGACTTCAACGTTTCGCGATTGATTCAACGTAAAAATTTGCGTTAAACTTGCTTAGACTACGTTTGCGAATGATTCGCACGTGTCTTTTAGTGGAAAGGTTGCGTACACTGCGTGTTGCAGTTTTTCTTGGCTATATTAGCAGTACTGCTCCTGAATGGTGAACTGTACTCTGCTCGCGACCGTCGAGTTGCGAACCCAGTTTTTTTTTTTTTTTAAATGATAGTGATGATTATCAAAAAAGTTATCAATTTGCGATTCCACGGTATGGTTGCGGTGTCTCCAGAGCAATAATATTGCTTGTTAATTTAACAAGCAAAATAATTGATGTGGAGATCGCGGCCGGGGAAGTATCATGGCCGAAATGGACAGCAAAAAAATTTCCTCCACGCGACATTTTGCTGCCCCATGATCTTTTATTTAAAAACCTGAAAGGAAAAGGAAAGGGCATAAACAGTCTCTTGTCAAATAGCTGCAAGACAGGATGACCAACAGTCTTCAGCGAAGCTCCTAAAATTTATCCCATATGCCAGTGCCAGGGGGGACTCTGCCCCCCATGGTTCAACCCAGAAGCGGCTCAAACTCCCCCCCCCCCCCCCCCCCGTATTCTCCGTCCATATCTGTGTCTTTGTCCTTTTTTTTCTGCTTCTCCCAGTTATTGCATATTCCATATGCCAGACAAATCTGCACAGCTGGAGAGCATGCACTGGGTGCATGTGTTTGGAGAATGAAGCAGAAAGTAAGAGGGCGAAGAGAGAGAACACTTCGCAAGGGCTTGGCAAGCATAAACAGCTTCCCTATTAGAACTAACCTGTCTTGCAACACTAGCTTTAAGAGCAGTGCATCATTTTTTTTTATCCAGCTTTTATTTTTTTTATTTTTAACACATACACTTTGAAGTGAAAGTGTGTGAAGAACTTATTTTATATGTATGAATTTTTACGCAGCCATACAAATCTCTGTTGAGTATGTTCACCTTTAAATACTTTGCAACACAAGCACGTTGTTTGGACCTTACAGCTGCACACTTTTTCGTACAGAGCTAGTAGAGACAAACATTCTTCCATGGCATATATTACTGCAATAATGCTCTTTGAAAAGTCTGTTTCGTTAAGTTGTTTTAAAAGTTTGCATCTTGGAGTTTACAGCACAGATTGATGAGGTGCTGAAGTTGCTATTCAATGTTTATTCGTTTATAAATACAAAAATTGATATTACCCTATAATATTTGGACCCTGGGAACTTAACTAGTTATTCAAAGTCCAACTGTCCCATCACAGGAGAGCTTTACATTGACATTCAGGCAAAAATATATCAGGCCAGACACTTAATTTTTTGAAACATTATTTAATGTGCAACAAGGAAAGGAGGCTCTTACAGAATGATTTGTCCATAAGCAACAGTCAACAGTGTCTGGGAACTGTAACATATATATAGTATGCACACATACAAAGGCAACTTCTTTTCTTGGAAAAAAAAAGAAATTTGCCCCATAACAACATTTGCTACGAGTGAACTACAACCTGGGCTTACCACGTACATTGCTTTGGATTTGTGGTGCGACAAACATGGCAAATGTTTTATTCACGCTATAGGGCACGCAGATAACAGTTTTCTCGTAGCCAATGAGCTCACTTGATAGTTTTGGTGCTGAACCACAAACGAGTTGTGTGAAATGTGTTATATAGTGTGAACTTAACAAACACTTCCAACTAATCAGTCCACGTAGAATGCAGCCACGAGGCAAGCCTGAAGGTGTGCAATGCAGGCTTGGGGTATTAAACTTTCACTTTTTTTATGTTCCTTCAAAGCCACGATATTCTCAATGATGCTAATGCTGAAGCACTTTTCTCTTGTTTTTTGAGATTTGCATATTCATCCACGCATAAGTGACACACTCCTAAGAGCGCAAGTATATTGATTTCACATTATCACAGCGACTATTTTTTTTTAAATTTTGTTACATGGTGTGTGAGCGTTCCGATGTGATCTTTACCAGCACTGCAGGTAATGTAACCTGTGCTTTAACTTCTATGTTACGACGAAGTTGCAATGTTCACAAGACAACGAGCATAATTGGCAATGTGGAATACAGAACCCGAGTGGGGTGTTCAGTACGCCAAGCCCGTTGATGACACCTTCAGTTGAGTGAAATATTTGCCACATAAAGGAGAACAACACAGCTTCAACTTTTAAAAGAAATAGGTATTCACAGGCACATTTGATACTTGCAGGCTCACAACTGATTTACTCAAAGTGAATATGTGTGTTTTGTGTACTCTTTGCTAAATACAATCAAGTCAATTTACAAATGATTAGACAGTTCAATAAGTAGATTGCACATTACTTGTGAATTGTTTTACCAAACTGTCAAAGTACTGCGCACGTCGTTCTAAATTTTGCAAGATTCATGTGAAATTACAATGTTTCACAATGGTGCAGTGTAGAGGGACAGAGAAAGATCACATGTGCAGTGCAGAAATCACAAATATGGTGCCAGTGAAGTTACAGCCACAATGAACTACAAGCAACCAAGAAAAAAAATATCACATGCTGCAAACGCGATATACACATGAATAAAACGTGGTCTATAAGTTTACCCGGGTGGGTTTTCTCTGTAGCGAGTGATAAAACCCAGAATATCGGTTCACTGAGGTGAAGTGTGTGACTTGAAGCACCTGTATGATCACAAAGAGGAGACACGAATACGGAAGTTGGCGTTCAGCCGAGGGTGATGTGACGTGACAAAAGAAAGTCTACACAGGTTTCTCAGAAATCTTCACAGATGAAAAGTAAGCAGCTCTGCTCTGAAACCAGCCCCATCATACTTACGGTACAAGCCGCAGCAGAAAGCTTGCTTGAAAGCATCGATCCAGTTGACAAGCAGCGCATGTTTCTCGAATTGTACAAAGAAATTGCAAGAGTCTTGACAAAGTACATACACGGGTCACCAAATCTTATGATACTAAGATAACTGAGGTTCACAATCTCCCTTCCTAAGCAGGCGATTGCCAGTGTATAAGTAACCTACACTGCTTCAAATATGAAGGTTTGCCCATTAAAACCAAGCGTGCTGTAACTAAAATTTAGCAGAAAACACTTTCAATGAATCAATTACTAACCATGCAGACAACATGCTGTCTAGTTGATGCAAATTCAAGCTTGAAAAAGTCAAAGATTTTCCCTGGTTGATATTACTTGACGACTAATTTACGAGCTGTGAATGCCAACTTTCTTTAATTGAAATAGTTAGTGCATTGAATAATCTGCACGAACTTATTAACTTGGCACACAACAGGTTCACACAAAACTGCTGCTTTGACAAGAGCAAGGCAGAAACAGCGGAAATGTGGTATCTTTTTCTTCTTACACCGTGATCCTGAGTTACGGTGCAACCACAAAACAAGAGATTGTCATATGTAGATGGTACCAGAAATACTTCCCGCTTCAATATGTCCGAGGCATTCAGAAAAGGAATGTTTTAAGAAACTGTAGCACTTGAACTCAAACACACCATCACAACAGCTGAAACATACAACCTAGTAGAACTTGTTCATGGTGTGGTGTGTTCGACATAGTTAGGGTCTGCAGGTAGTGCAAATAAATAGACACGTTCACAAGAGAACGTACCCAGGACAAGGCAAATGAGTTCATTAGTGATCCATCTACTGGCTTGTATGATAAAAACATGCTTTGTTTTTGACGCACATGCATGGTTAATGACTTGTTGTTTTGTATTCGCATATGTGCTTTTTGTGCCATACTAATTCATGATGTCTATTTATTTTATGGTCTTTGGTGACATATAAACAGGGTGTACTTGCACTTGTCCTAGTTACCCTCTCTTGTGAATGCGTTTACAGTAGGTGGCGCAGCATTGCAGTTCCGCCACTCTGCTACGTGCTGCAAATCCTGCCAACTTTTGTGGCCGACAGTACATTCTGCAACAGTCACCAGTAATAAAGGAACGTCTGACCACTTGCATGAAGTTTTAGACAGCTCAAATGACGAAAACTGCATAACAATTTTTATTTAACCGTGTAAAACCGAACACTTGCTAAAATTTCATTCTGAATCCACCTTGCATGTTACCAGTGACTGCCACAATGCGGCAAAAAAGAAAAAATGTACTAGGATTGCAAAAGCATGTAGTTAATGAGGGACCGTAATAATGCTTGTTAACACGCTACAACAGGGCACAACACTGCCAGGAAGAAGTACTTTGTAACAGGTCAAGGTCATTTGTCCAAAAAGTTAGATGCCAGAGGAAACGTTACAAGGGCTACCACCTACATCAGGTCTTACAGTCAATCACCCGTCAACAGCAGGTTTAGCTAACTTAAGGCTCTGCTGCGACGGCTGGTAACAAACAAGATTAACAACATATACATTTTAGGGGGGCATTGTGCTTATTATGCATTTCTCAAACTCTATGTCGTGCATGTTTAGAGGATGTTGCAAATCTCGTGCAAGTTTGGGAGGTCGCTGCACCAGAACGTACCCGCTTACACATGACGCGTCCGCGTATGACTTATTGGCCAAGGTGGCACAACACATATGAGGAAACACGGTTCAACACTTAATTGTCAGTTCAATATGAACCACGCAAAACTCGAGCTCTGTGCTAGCACTTATGCACGCAGGAACTACCTTCGCACACCAGCTTGCTGCAACGCCCCAAGTGCACATAACCGAATAGTCAATGACTGGAACTTCGTTTGTCTTTCACTGCAAACCAGTATTGCCAAGCTCAAGTTCAGCAGTGCTATGTACGACTGACCGTAATAAAGTAAAAAGCTGGGTGAGTAGGAAGTGAGGCACATTACTTGAAATCAGCATTGAAAATAACAAAAATTCATGCGTTTACACGAAAACGTGAACACACATTAATCTCCATTGTTTTCCATGTTTAATACAAGTATGACAACCTTCAAAGCTTTCATAGTTGTATCAGAAAGCATATGAGTCTTGTTGTGACAATAAGCATGCTTCTATCCTGATTAATAAGAATAATGCTACTGAGTTGTTTGTCAAATTATGATACCACTTATTATTGTTATTTTGTATGATTATCAGATCACAATCAAAGCAATATAACATAGCCGGTTAGGTGTCGTACACCTACGAGGTTCGCAAAAGAAACAAAGTGAGCTAGCGGGGTTTTTTCACCTTGTAGCACTCATATTTCAGAAGGCTTGTCACACTGAATCGGCCCAACATTAAATAAGTTGACTCCTTGCACGCTTTGAGTCAATGTCTGGATGCATTAAATCCTATCATTTTATTTGTATTGAGAGCAAATCAAAAGGTACTTCTGGCACAGCTGGGCAGAGCACTTTTGCTAAGTCAATACAACTCGTCACCATGGTAATTTTGCTTCCTGGGGCGTTGCAAAGCGTGCAGTCGCTAAAGCTCAAGAAAGGAAATAACCATAGCAGGCTTAACTGCAAGACGTGTTTGCAAAATATATAAACGTGTGTTCATACAAGGCCCAACAGCGGGACAACAGGCGAGAGAAAGAAAGGCTTCCACACTCCCATAGGGACGACCACCAGCATTGATGCTGGGCATCTCAGCCCAGGGCGAGACGACGATACTGTGTCCTCGGCTGGCACATTTCTCAAACTTTTGAGAACTGTGCTCAGTCGCCGAAGACGTTTAGACACAAGAGACAATGCACGTCAGGGCTGCCTACCCCGCGAAGTATAACTTCCGGAAAGTGCGACTGGAGTTTTTTTTCTCTTCTTTCTGTCTGGCTTTTTAAATTTTTTTATCGATGTAGAAAAATGAAGGAGTTGTTTTTACCAGATATAAAAAAAATATTCATTCCTGCATTAGGCGAGGAAAGCTGCGTATCTGAAAAATCTCAAAACAAAGTCTGAAAGAGTTCGAGGCCCACAGGTTTGAGAGATGCGTGTGATGTGGTTGACTCGGTGTCCATCATGGATGTCAGTGTTATCGAAGCGGCATTGAAATGCTTTCACCACTTTGTGACACCAAAGTTTTGATGGCTACGAGTCGGACGCATAAAAAATTTTCATGGGAATCAATTAAACAGAGCTTTCTATCAAATCGCTGCCCACATGGAATGTGCCTAGGTCAGCAGAATAACAGATAACACATATCCTTGTACTCATGATGATATAAGCGTGTTGGTGACTGTTACAGTAGACTTATCATCTTCGATGGCCGCATTACAACAGCATCATGATAGGTGTTTGAAAGCCAAAACTAAAAGTATGTCTTTGATGATTTATTAGTGTCTGATTAGTATTAGTTTGTCCAATTAGTAGTACTAAACCAACGGACTTTGAGGGCTCTCGTGTTTACATTTTCACTGTCATCTAGTAAACTTACTGTTTTCACAAGATGCCTCAAAAATGTCTACATAGTTGCACAAAGTGAGTACCACATATTGAGAACATTGCAGGCAGACTTAGAGCCGCAGTTGAATCATGACTTGAAGTTCCAGCTAGAAACTAGCACTTGGATAGTTGCTTCAAAATAAGTAACAATACAGTACAATACAATACTTTTGTTGATTACTTGGTGACTATAAGTACTATCTGTGGACAGCAATTGACAGTATTTAGCAGGAAAACTAAATTTCGAACTTAAACTTAAAAACTGGCTATACAAGAAGCAAGAACCTCACTCGTAGTAAAATATATCCCCCTACATCACATGACTTTCTGTCTAAGCTTACTCAACGTGAAAATTTTATTTGAAGAAGGCAGCCCTGACAGTCCTGCACACACAATTGCACATGTACGTATACGTATTTGGAGCACTGAATGCCTAGGAAATGCTAGGCCATGGGGTAGCTAAAGGCATCACAACAAACTACGTTGTGGGATGTGAAACTTGAAACCATTCACATATAAAACTTATTTCCCAACATTTCCCAACAAACAGTGCGAAACATCTGAACATCAAACCAGCAAACGTGTGACAAACTTACACGCTCAAGAGGAGGTCGTGGAATTTGTGAACAAGATTCTTAGGACAGCTTAACTCAACTTTTTTGTTGTTTTGTTTGTTTCTTTGCTAATTTTATTATGCAAACATTTTCACCTATTCGTGTCCATTACTTAGTCTTCATCAAGTGAAACCTAGAGTTCTAATAACACATTTCGTTCTGAAACTTTCCTGCTTTACTACAGACAAGCAATACGAAATATGCTCAGTCTTTCCAATCACAACACCTACAGATAGGAGCTGCACAATGACAAACACTCAGTCAGAAGAAAAAAAAAAAAGGCCAGATATGACTCGAATCAAGTGCCTAAATTCTGGCCATGTGTTTTGCAAAGCACGCCATGCAAACACTCAGGAACCTATGACATTCAAAGAAACACACATATGCAAAGAAATGAAATAGATAAATAAATTCATGTACAAACCATCAACCAGTGCATTATCTGCAAACATATACATAGCTCATGTACAATAGCCACCGTCCACACCAGTCATGCCGCATACATTATGCCGAGAAAGTCCATATGACTGCAAGCGTACATGCAAACGAAATGCTTATGACATTCAAATGAAACAAAATATTATATGAAAGTGAGATAACATAAATAATTAAGTAACTTGTACAAACAACCAACCAGCAAATTCTTTACCCACACACATACTTCACGTATTAATTATAGTGACCATTCACAAGCAGTGACCGGCCAAACTCCACATAAACCTCGAAGAAAGTCTGTACGAATCCGTTTCTACATACAAAACTTGTTTATGACATTCAAATCAACTACATACACAAAAACATTAAATAAATAAATCCTTGCACAGGCTATTAATCAGTGCAACCATTGCACTCACCTCACAAAACATTAGTGACCACAGGTGACCAGTGGGTGGTCATGCCGCACGCAAGTGTCCGAAAAAGTCTATGTGACTCCATTCTGACGTGTAAAAATGTGCACTACGTGCACCATGGAGATTTGCACATTCTCTGAGCACAGATATGTTTGAGTATACTTTCAGCTGAACACATGCATCTTTCCGGTAAAGAGGGCTTTGGCTGATATTAAAGCCAACCTCAAGAAGAAGGGAAACGGAAAACAAACACACATTGTGTTTACATATTTCGTGCGTGGCTTTGAGATATCCATCTAGTTTGAAGAGCAATGGCATTGAAGTTGCGGTACGAGGTGGCACTGCCATGCAGAAAGATAATGCGGGTGGTTTCGGCAGTACTTTACGTAGTACACATCAGTTGGCTTAGTGCATAAGAAGAGTTAACAATATGTTTTACGTGTCTTCCAAAATGCCTTATGCAAAGGAGATGATCGTACCAGACGTATGGGACAACACCCTTGATCTTTCGGTAAAGGCTTTCGCCAGGATTGCACTCGTACGGTGACATGGTGCTGCTCAAACACGACGTTTGCTCATTTCTCTCGAGATTTGAATGAGCAAGTCGACGAGTCGCTGAGGGTGCAGTTCTTGCAATGTTCATGTCATCGGAGTAACGAGGAAATTGGCTGAGAAAACACCGAAATCATTTTCTGAAGAGAACAGCCAAAAAATGTGTGCCGTCTTCGAGTGGAGGCAAGTACGCACTTCTCATCTTCCAGAAGGTACCTTCTCAGTTTCAACCTTCTTTTCACTGGGTCGATTCTGCAAGACTTGTCCTTCTCTTCAGGCATGGAAGCGAAGTTGCCCTGTGGACGAGCTCAGCTTGCTAGCTGTCAAGGAGCACATGCCACCTGCACATCTGGCGGAGATGCAAAACAGAACACGCTAGTTGCCATACTACAATGTTGTCTGGTTGCTAATTAAGTAACCACACATTGAGTTCAGCACATAGTGGATGGAAGCTAAGATAACTAGGTAGCTTGTTAATACAAGTGACTGTCCCAACTGCAAGCTTTACTTTGACGAACGACTAAAGCAAGCACACAAGGCATAAAAAGATGAAACACATAAAAAGACACAAATACAGCGCTGTTGCTGTATGTTATTTTTTGTGTGTTCTATTGTTCTGTGCTGTTTAATCTCTCTTAAGTATGAGGAAACTCACGCAAGCATCTATTTTAGCTGAAATAAGGCTTGAAAGTCAAATTTCCAATTCAACCAAACTAGATTCATGAATGTGCAAATGAAAGTTTAAACAACCATAAATAAGTGCTTTTCGATGGTTAAAGATTCTATCAAGAATGAAAGTGTAGTATCGTGCGGCGGACGCCCCGCATAGCGCCGGCTGACAAGAAGTACGCAGCAGCCGGTAGCCAAGCAGGAACTCTTTTATTGTATACAATGCCGCGCCCGCATGTCCTTTTCATTCTAGAGGGGGGAATGATGTGGTGTGTTTCTGTTTCATGGTATGTAAAGTATTTTCGCCCTTAGGGTGCGCTACCCTGTGTGTATATGTGCGACATTTTATGTAATAAAAGAGTTACTGCTTGGTTACCGGCTGCTGCGTACTTCTTGTCAGCCGGCACTTCAGCGCCGTGCCCTGTGTTCTCCGTGCGGCGCGTCCACCGCGCGATACTACAGAAAGCACACACACGTACCTACTATCATGCTCAGTATTAGCCAACTGCGTCATGTGAGCGCCCGGCAAGTTGTTCGCACTTTGTAACTCGTTCAGTACACTTATGTATGTGTAAACACTTAGCCAAAGTATAATATGCACATAAGACGAGAGTGTGTTTCATGTGATTCCATGAGAAGTTTCAGTTCTCAGCAGTCATGCATATTACTTTTAATCCAATTTGCTCAAGCTATTATGATGACATCTTGCAAACTTGCTAAGCTCTGTGTACTAGTATGTCACATGCGGAAGAGATCATACCTGTTCTCCTTTACTTTCGCGCATGTCATTCCAATGTGAGAGTTCCTCTTCGCCAGAGCTATTGAGGCCCAATGAGAACCAGCCAATCATGTCTTTTCGCTTCATGGACCGCTTGTAGTAAACGGAAACCATTAGTGTCACATCTGGCAATTGAAAGAGGGCAACCTGGGCAAAATAAGAAAAAGGCGAATTGTCAGAAGAGGTTTTGTGAACGATTTCGCGAATTGAAGGACTCCTATAAGGTTATCGTTGGGGCATCTCATGAACTAAACAGTGCCACTTGAGAAGATGACAGATTATGCATGCGCACAGGCATCGGCAGGATTTTGTCTTGGAGAGTGCAAACCTGTGTTGCACCGCAACTGGGGAACAGAGGCCACAGAGGTTGTTTTGGGTCGAGGGCAAGGCACCCACCCTGATGATGCCCACATGTATGCATCTTGACCTGTGCCTTTTGCTGAAGTTAAAATGTTTTGAGTTGATTGGATTTATTTTTCACAGCAAGTACACTGCTGTACAGTGATAGCCAGAAATATCTTCAAAAAGAAGGGGGTTCTTGATAAATATTGTGCTGTGCCACAATGCAGCTGGCTAGTTGTGATAGAAAAAACAATATACATGCCTGAAATACAAACGTTTCTTTGAAGAGAGGGTTTGGCTGACCCCGCCGGACAGATGTCTTGCTTCTGGTTATTTCCTGGCCACTTGACGACATCAGCGTAAGTTTAACAAACGTGTCTGCACAAAATTGAAATGAAACAAGAAAAAGCGGACGACAAATAAGCAAATGTAACAAAATACATAATGTAATGAATTTCAAAATAAATAGTATTTATGTGAAAAGCAGAGAGGATGCTACATGCAAATGATTGAGCAGAGATATCAAATAAGAGAAATTCAGATTTCATAATTAGTTATCAGGCCTTTGCTGCAGAATAAATTAACTAGACATAGAACTACTATACAGAGGTAATAATTATTTGAAACTACACTGTAATCACTTACAAACCACACATGAATGTGTATCCTCTGTGCTTAGTAAGTACTATGCAACAAGAGCAAGTGCCTATTTTGTTCACTGCTTCCTATGATGGCTACATTTACATTTCATATTACAAAGTTTCAGAGAAACTCGAAATTTTGAGAAAAAGCTGTTATCGGTACTCAGAAACATGCAAGAACATAAACACTCAATGTGCACTGGCAAATCGTTGGATTGGGATATGCAGCTTGTATTTCATGATGATGTGCTCAGCGCGGAAGCAAAGTACGGAAAGGTATGCCTGTGTCCACTGCTTCTTCTCACTTTTTGTCTTTAGTGCTGTGCACATCATCAGTAGCAAAAGTGTGGGACTTCAGGATCAATTGCAAAAGCGCAATATGTACTTGAACTGACCCTCTTGCATGCACTGGGTAAAAAGGAAAGGGCTTTGAAAGTGATGCGTGAGAAGCGCTATAGATGTCAGTTGATTAAGTGCGTTACATGAACTTAATAAATATTAGCTATAGGTCATGCTGGCTGCACTCTCTTTCAGAAATATGGTTGTCTATAACGTTGTAAAAGTAAATTTGGTTGGATTCATTAAAATTAATCATGATAATCAGACAAACGGCACACCTGGGGCCCTGTTCATGGTGACATTTCGAAAGTGGCTTCCCTTGATGACCTCTACAGCGAGACGCCCCGTCGTGCCATTGTAGGCAAGCCCTAGCAGCAGTTCTGGAAGTCCTCCGTGCTGCATCGACTGCGCTGAACTCGTCGAGTCCGATCGGGCCAAGCTGGAAATCTCGCACTTGGAATCCCAGTGCTGTGACAAGAGTGAAATGTGAAATAATTAGGCACACTAAGGATAGCCTCCAGATGGAAAGCGGGGGGAGGGGGGAGCATCGCTAACATGTTTATAGAATGTCAGGTGAGGGACACCCTGTCTTATAGGGATAATTGATAAACTTATGATGATGGCTGTGATGACAGATGGCTGTGGCTGCTGAACGATGTCAGTACGACAAATACTTATCTTGCTAGTGCATAAAAACAATCGCGTTAGTGTCACTGGATTTGCACGTAAAGCTGAGCAAACATCTTTGCACTTTAATATTTCTCATTAATAAGCTGCTTGGCTCATGGTCATTAAAAAAATTAACGAACACTTCTTGAAGACGATGACAGTGTTTTAAGCCCATAGACAAGACAAGTACATGGACAAAGCTGTGGCGTCTTCAACTTCATTTCGTTTGTAAATTCATTCAGTTCTCGTATTTTCTGGTTGTTGAAAGGCATAATGCGACAGAAGAAATTGTGTGATTCAAATGCAAAAGATGTTGCTATGGAAACACAGTGAGAACGGAGACATGCAGTTAGAATGTTGAGAAGCGGTGCGCCTTACGGCCAGGTTAGACCGTGGCTCCAGCATCAGCCACATGGTGGAAGGCTGGTCGAGAGCCAGGCACTGGAAAGGCAGCACGGTCTCCCCGACCAGATGCTCCCGACGCATGCGTTCGCATCCGTACAACCGGACACGCAGCCCCATAGTGTTCACTTCCTCTGTGAAGCAAGTGATGGATATGCGTGCATATCGACGTTAGCTTGGCAAACAATAGTCGAGTCTCAGTAAAACGAACATGCATATAAGGAATTATTGGTTACTGTACATTTCATATAACGACTTTTTGTGCACAACAAAGCTGGTTTCATGTCAAACGTGACTTGGTTTATTGTTGCTTTCTATGTTAAGTAGTACTAATGCAGTACCTATGTTAAGTTCCTGGTTATGCCCCTGCACTTTAGAACAGCACTTGCCATAACTTGAGCTGCACATGCGTACCTTGCTGTGTAAACAAAAACTGTGGCAGGTAAACTTGCAAGCAAAAGTATACGGACCACTGTCGTTCTTATACTTAATTTTTCCGTCTGCATTGTCTAGTGGTCAGTCACCTGCTGCCAAGAGCATTTCTCTGACATATTCCATCAGAGTAATTCTATCTACAGCTATGCTGTCAAAACAATGATCTCGGTAGCAGACATTTTGTGACTAGACGACATAGACAGTCATTTCAGCTCGTGCTTTCGTGGTCCGTATACTTTCGCTTAGGGGTGTACATTAGCACATTCAAGGTTTATTCTCCAATTCAAAACGAAACGCCTTACCAGGGCTGATGCGTGTGAAGGCGAAAGTTTCGTTGAAGGTCATGTCTTCCCCCGCCTGTTTTATTTTTGTTCTGAATTTTTGCCTCTTATGGGGCAGCAGTAATAGTCGTACCTTTAAAGAAACAAAGAAATGCACACATTAGAACAGCACCCATGTCATCACCGTAGCCACGTTTAATGGCACTGCTGCAACCAGAGGAAGCACTAGAGTGACATCTGATTTACACCAAATTTTTAGTTGCATTCAATTCATAGAGAGAATGTTTCAGCCACACATAAGAAAATAAAGAGAAACAAATGTTGGAACATGATTCGATCATCAAAGAATATAAGCAAGGACTGCCAACCTTCGACTAAGAAGTAGATGTGAGTAACAAATGGTATTCATTTCACTCTAAAATATATGCACTAACTGCTATCACTGCCTACTCTTCTATCATCTTACGAGCACATATTGTCATGGGGTCGTGATGTTGACGAAGACAGCAGTCTATGTATGCAAGATGAAACTCTTTATTCGGCCAAACCCGTGTCCGCAAAATGGTTATTCAGATTACAGCAAGCAATGCATACTTTACACTGATATCGGCGATTGGAGCGTTGGTTGTCGACGATACACTGATCCTTGTTCAAACACACCTGCTTTTATACATGATGCATTGAACTTTCCAGCCTCATCATTAGTGGTCACAGAAGCTTTCAAATAATATTGAGTATTCGCGTCCTGTGCGCAATCTTAACAAAACGATCTACTACGAACGTGAAGGTTCTCGAACACAGAGACACGATCTGTGCCGAGTGTAACTCACAGCCTTTGCAGGTTTAAACCTGGCACATCAAAATAACACTCGTGGCAATATGTCAATCCTCAAAGTCACCATGCACAGTTTTTCTGATGCCACTTTTACAGACTTTACGTTATCAGTCCCCTTGTGCTTTCTCTTTATTTTACGAAATGTTTCATGAGCTGACATGAGCTGTGGTATGCTGTGTAAATATATATACTAGCGATGCTTCTTCTACAACGCAAGTTAGAAGTTCCGAGCAGATGACAGAGTTGACGAAGCAGTTAAGGTGTTAAAACATCACAACACTGACTCCAAGCTGTACCGATTATGAAGTATTCTTGCTTCTCTTCATTTTTAGGCCTGCTGGGGTATACACACTTCGCTTGACCAATAGGTGCAACTTTCTGTGCTCTCGTGAGATTACAGCTTCTCGTGGACTACCTAAAATCATATTGCTATGGCTCTGATAGCATGACCAAGGACACTTGCTGCTCTAAAAAAAAAGGTGGGCACATGCGAAATTTGTGAGACGTAATAAATGCAAGACTACGTAATAACTCGCCCAAATCTTCTGTACATTGTGTATAAACACACTTTTTGCCATACAAAAAGAAAAAAAGCTGAAAGATAGTGGTCATTGTTCTTGATTGCATGGAAAAGGATGCTCAGGCGCACATGCTTGAACTTACTTGCACACTATTGGCTCCTCCGCGGTCTCGACTGGGCAAGTCGTGTGCTCTTAAGACCGTGACCATGACCTTGCGGGCCGACTCATCGTACTCGAACATGAGCTCAAGTGCACCGCAGCGGGTGGTCTGCTCTGAAGGACCGGGACCATGCAGACCTGATGCCTCGGCCACGCACCTCAGCTCCTCTTCAGCTAAGTCAAGTAGCATGGGCTCCTGTATACGTGGTAAAAAAAATCATGCATGCTTGCACTGATAATGCGCCGACCTGTTGAAGAAAGCAAGCAATACGGTAGGCATAAAATAAAAAAGAGCAAAAAAAATTTGGAGATATAGATAAGCAGGAAGGTTTAATTGTAAAAGATTGCCTGCCAGCTTTCCCATGCACCTCCATACTACCTTAATCGACAGAAGTAGGTATCACACTGCGACCATGCTGCTGTGAATAACAAAAATGGCTACTTTAAATTGTCCACTGGTAATTAGTCTGCTTTCCCAATATGCTAGTCACTAAGAGGGGATCCTGCTCAAGTATCTTAAAAATTTCTGATCGAATTTGACAAAACTTGCTGAATTTGTGTATATTTTTATGCTGGTTTCAAAAATATGCATTGCTTTTTCTAATAAGATATCTAGCTTTTGAAGTGCCAGAAATTTCGTATGCCAGCAAAGGCTTACTTCTAAACTAATACAGGAATAAAGTAAATCAATATATTGCCATAATCTACCACGAGAACTGCATGTAGCAGAACAAGAATAGATGTTTTGAACCAATTTGAACAAAAGTTACGGTATGTTGAACATTTGTGACTGAAATCCAAGTGTGACATCGGTTCACTTGCGAGTGTTCACTATACCGTAACTGTTCAAGTATGTTTAGAACATTCATTCATGTTTTACTACATACAGTTCTCTATCCTGATACTAAATGTGATATGCTTGTTTGCTTTGTAACTCCCTCAATATATAAAAAAAACCTTCCTTCCCAAAAGCCTATTTAATGCCTAATATTTTGAAAAATACATAGTGTACTAGAAACGTCACAGCATATTCGAAATTAGCACAGATATATGCATAAACTCAGCAAGTTCTATCAAAATCTATTCAGAATTTTTTTAAATGTTCAACATAACAGGCAAAAGTTCACGGCTGAATAACTCTAAAACTTGTAGACTGCAAGGTTAGTGAAAAATTGTGATATTTCGTTATAGGCTTTATGTTCTTAAATAAGTGTCAGAGAAATGCTTTTTTTAAATACTATAGATTAGCTAATGAAGTGACATTTCTTACATCGCTTCCTCCACATGCAGCGAGTGACAGTGGGGAGTCATCGGCCTTCAGGAATGCACCATTCTCATACTGCAAAGCAGTGCGAACAGTAGACGTTTCCTGCACAGTCTTGGAAGAAGCCCTGCTTGTATCTGCTGCCTCTGCCCCCGTGGATACGGCACGCCCATTCTCCGCAAGTGAAACCAAGTCTGGCTGAGGCAGGTGGCCATTGCCTGCAACAAAAACGTAATCAAGAAATATTCCTATTACAAAGAAAAAAACTATTGGAAACCAGCAAACAGATTCAGAGATTCTCTGGAAATCATTAGTTTACGCTTATGTGATGTAGTTTATTATGAAAAAAACAGCTCAATTCAGTAGATATACAAGTCTCATAATTATCCTCTTATTTGGTCACTTACTATGAGCAGCAAAGATCAAACTTCCCATAATGCGGTAATTATCATGGATATGGGTGCGTGTTGTTAAAAATGAGAACACAGAGCTAAAAGCAATATGTGTGCGTGTATGCATGTGCGCACTTGGGGTGTGTGTGTATGTGCATACGCATTCACGTGTAGATTTGTCATTCATTCATTTAATCATCTCATACTACGATCAAAAAATGTTAAAATTTTTATAATGTGTGACTTCATTATCAGGGACATGACAAAATGCTTTACTTACTTGCCACGGTATGGCTAGATTAGCTTAGCTTTTACAACCATTGCAGCAGTGAGCTACAAGCAACACATCAAGCGATTGTTTCCATGCTCCTTCACCTACAGTGCACATTAGGAAACCGCTAGAAAACGGTTATTCTAACAGTGATAACAAGATGTGTATGATTTCGTTAGCAAAGAATGCAAGGTAATTACCGTGTACATGGTCAGTGGAGTGGCCCATGCTGGACACTTTTCTGGCTGATGCGCTGTTAAGAAAGCCACCTTGCAGGCTGGCCGAATGGTGTAGTTGCTGTATGACTTCTTCATCACTCTCCGACGATGACTCGACATCATCGTAAGCATACGCCGCCCCTGTACATAATAATTACAAAAAATGAAAGAATTGATGCACTAAAACAAAATCGTAACTTGGATTTTTTAAGAGTCGTATAAGTACACGAGACACCCATGCCTCAATCTAAAAAAGAGATAGAATAAAAAGGGCATCTTTTTGTCCCACAGCTATAACCATCATTTATCTTGCAATTCTTTCCTTTCGTTATCGTCTTACGTCTAAACGGCACACTTTGACCATGTTGGATCTCTCTTGATAGAAAACTGGCCAGCACAAAGTTTTCAAGAGAGGAAGCCAAAGCAAGCCAGATGACGATCATTGTTGTGGGACAAAAAGACACCCATTTTACTCAGTCTTATTCTTAGAATATTACTATGCATGCATCAGTAATCTAGGACAACAGAAACCATCAGATATAACTTTGGTGAATGAGTTGGAAAAAGTGTTACTTATATGTACCGCCTACGACAGATGGAAAGTTTGGCATATAGATACACCATCGCGACACAACGACAATCATGAAGCGAAATATAACGATTAACGCGTGTGTGTCGTTTACATCCTGCATAGCACAAATATTATACAGGGTATTACAGGGCAAATATTATACAAATATTCTACAAATATTAAACAGGTCTGCGCTCGACCTGTTTAAGTGTTCCGTCTTTTTGGTGTCTTTTCTTTACTTGCACAATTTTTTCCTGTGAAGGGTAATACACTTTTACTGTACATGCATTTGCAAGAATTTTTTAACAGGATGTTATACTATTCAAAAATGTATGTGAGAGGATTTCACACACACACACACACAAAAGATATTTTCGACTAGCTCAGCAATGAAATTATCCAAATTCTGGAGTTTCACATGCCAATGCTATGATATTGATTTTTAAAACATGCTGTTGTGGAAGATTTTAGATAAACTTTGGCTACCTGGGATATTTTCGTGCGTACCTAACCTATGTGCGGAGGTGTTCTTGCATATTGTCTTCATCGGAATGTGGCCAGGAGTCGAATCTGCGACCACCACTAATTGCTAACACGACAGGTAGCCCCGTATTGAAACTACTGCTACATCAATAATTGCACATTAGTAAGCAAGACGTTGTGTTCAATTAATGTGGCTTTAAAATCTAACGAGTGCACATCGGTGGACAACATACGCGAAACCCCCCCCCCCCCCCCCAAAAAAAAAAAAACGTGCAACAAGGCAGCAACGTGCGGCTATGCCTCAACGCGCGATTGCAATGCGGCAAAGCCCACTTACCTAAATTTCTGGCGATCACTTGTCGCTCGCGTTCCCGGGACGATACGGCACCGTCGCAGCACGGGAAGCCTCCTATGGTCGTGAAGCAGACCTTCTTGCTCAGGTAGAGGTAGAACACTCCTAGCATCACCAAAATCACACCCACAGCACCCAGGTAGACGGTCGTCTCGACTGGCACTGCGGGAAAAAAAAAAAAAAGATCGCGCGCATGCAGGGTAAAATCCCGAGGACGGCCGAACTTGGGGTTCAGAAAACATTTAGCGAAGCAGCTAGCTCAGCATCCGCACTGCCAGAACTTCGCCACATTTTCGGTCGAGCATGCATTGTTCGTGCAACAGTTCCATTTGTAGCGCAACCGCGAGAAACATACGTCGCAATCCACGATGCCCCGATCACACGGGAGCAGGAGAAAACGTTGAGCCGAGCACGAGTGCACAACGAAACAGGCGTCTTGGCCATGCCACGCATTCGCCGTTTCCCGGGCAGTTCGCACGGCGGGAAGCCGACCAACTGCGTCGGTCCTCGCATACCTTTTAGGTTTCGCAACGTGCTTCTTATTTACTACGGAGTCGTCGCGACTAGGCCTAATAACGCGCCCTACTTTTCGCGCGCGTCCGCCGAGGCAACGGCGTTTTGCGCGCGAGCTTCACGGCCGAGTGCAAGCAGTCGCTACCGAAGCGTGCGATTCACCTGTGAGCATCTGCATCTTGGATGTAGTGCGGTGCGGTAGCTCGGCAGGAGGAGAACGGACGCGCCTGACAGTTGCGCTCAAAGCCAACACAAACAGAAACCGCAGGAAACATGAACGAATCGGCGGTGTCGCTGACGGCTGCCGAGCCAGTCGGCGATTGGCTGCCCTACTTTTTTTTTTATGTAGTACTCCCGGCTGCTCCCCGCGGAACGTAAAAATGCGGCGTTGAATGAGGCGGCCGTGACACTATTAACCATTATTTTTCTTTATCTTTGTGATACCGAAGCAAGCGCGAGAGCTTCGTCGAAAAACGTTTTGAAAATATAATAATGCGCATCCCTCTTGTGAGTGTGGGCTTCACCGCACCATGAATCGCGCTGTGGCGAAGCCGAACTATAAAGCCGCGTTCGGAGTAATGTTTATAAATCGATTCTAATTATTGTTTTTAACGCCAAAAGCTGACACAAAAGAACTTGTTTGCATAACCAAGCTGGGTGCACAGTTCTGTGTACACTACAATAGTGCTACAAAATAATTAGGGATAATTATGTTTTTTTTTTCAGTCCATACCAAGGGAAACATGATGGTAATTGAACACTCATGAAATTGAGAGGACTGAAGATAGGTAGCCAAGAAATGCCCACAATCAGGGGCTGCGCTAGGGGATTCGCATGGAGGGGGGGGGGGCACCCCTCTCCCGAATTTTCACCTACGCCCTGTGGCCTCCCTCAACATAAAAGAATCCTGGCACCAGGCCATCAACAACATTAAAGAAACAAAAAATTATAAATCGAACTGATACTCAAGTGATAATGAACAATTGCATTAACTTATTACACTGTTGCCAGTGATGAACACAACATTTTTTAAACATAGTTTGATTACCAGATTTTTTAATGCAAGGGCCACTTTTAGCAGGGATGCCAGGCACACGGCAATAATGAAATAAAAATTTTACATCCAATCATGAAATGTTGGAGTATGTAACTATATGAAGGCTTAAAATATTTCTCCATATAAATGCACAATTTGAATGTATTAAACACAGAGATGGTTGCGTTACAGGTGTCTGTTAGTAGTGCTGATAATACTGTGCTGAATAATGGCTTCACTGTACAGTATTACCATTATAGCGGAGAAAGTTGCTCGATCTATACGCCGAGGTAGTAGTGGCAGTGCCAAACATGGGCTTAGCAGACAAATCAGCTACGTGCCAGTTATATATAGCTATGTGCCATATGGTAAACACCATTGTTGGAACACCCTTAAAGGAATCGCACGCTTTTACCATTCGCACATATTTTACATCGAGCACTGAGTCTTCAACCAGTATTTATATATACAGTAGATTCTTGTTTTTAAAAACTTAAGGAACCAGAAAAATATCTTGCACTCAACAGTTCTATTTACTGCAAGATGAACAGAGAAACAGAATTTCAGTAGGAAACCAATCATATACGAGCCATATTTTCCGATTCAGCAGCGATTCCTCTATTGTAAACATTTTCCAGATGGGGCTACATACATTTCTCATGTGTTGTAGGAAGCTATATAGTTTTGGACATGCTCAAACAATACAAATTATGGTAGGACCGATTTCATAAATCTCTGGAATATTAGCCAAGGAATACAATGCAGCATTCAAAATATTAGTTGACTGCATCTATTCACACAAATTCTGGATAAATTTATTATGTGGGCTAACATGCAACACAATGTGCACGTAGATGCATACATTGGCTCGCACTACAGATGTGTAGTCAGAAATTTATTTCAAGCCACATGATGAGAGTACGAACCCTTTTATGTATTTTCATGTATGTTTGTATAATAATGAGCACAAAGTAGTATTTTTGGGAGGGTGGTTTGAATTCATCTCATCACTGCTCATGTATGACCAACTATGGGCGACAGGCCACGAGTCATGTAGTTCTAAATAAAATCTTCAAGCAAATACCACATAGTTATATACACAAAAGGTATTTAATGATACATGCACACGACTTTTACCTTTCTTTGGTGGCATCAGCAAAATTGTGTTCTTTTTTATATGATGAAGGTGACTATGAGGAAGAGTGACACCATCCATAATGCTACAAGTTGACAATCAGTGTGCGGTACAACATCATGATGAAAAGAATGAACCAACTTTCAGGCCTTTAAGTGCTGCTACAGTAAAAGGCTTCAGAGATTGAAAAAGAATAAAACATTTCCCAGCACTCACTTATTTTGCTTAAAATTGTGGGGAAAATACAAGACTGATCTTATCGCAGCATGTTCTTAAATATTGCAAGATGAAACTTTGTAGCCACGATCGCTTTATCTCACTCATGGCACTGTCATTGGCATAGCCCCTACGGAAAAACGAATGAAATCGGAGCCCAAGCATTCTGTACAGATGGTTAATCAGAGTTAAGCAGGCTAATTGTGAAACCTGCAGCTTGGTGCTTATCACTGGCTTAATGCCAATGGTTCGTTAAAGTTTTTCAATTACTGGTAATGTCTGTCCAGAAATCTTAGTTGCTGTTTGCTGCTCATGTGTTCCAGTCTTTATTTGTGGTAGATCAGTGGCAATTACTGGGATTTGTCCAATTTATATGGCACACACATTTCGAATGACCAGCGTTTTTGCCAACATGCATTTTTCACCAACAACAACCGATATATAACAGTTGCTGGACAATTTGGATTGGATTGAAAGCCGAGTGGTCAGACCCAAGAATCATATTAGACTGATCTGAATGTGGCTCAAAGAGACCCTGAAACGGTTTTGGCAATTTTGTAAAAACGCATTAGGCCGGTAGACCAAGTCCTAAGGGTCATTCAGAGACCGATTTGAGCTCTCGGGGTAAATTGTGTAATTTAATACAACGCTTTAAAGCTGCGAATCGCTGAAGATTGAAGCAGATCGCTGTAGCCCGGCCAAATGCGGTTTCAATCAGCCATCAACAGAGCCACTTAACGTCACCGTGGCTGCCGATCTGATTGGCTGTCACGGGCTGTAGAATGCACCGAAGATCGGCCGGTGGGTGGAGGCACCTGTCGACAGCGTGCCTGCTGCTGGGCGCACTGTGTGATGGCCTCCGAGACTGCATGCAACCTGCCGGCATGCAATTTCGGAGGTCTGGACTGTTAAAATCTCAAATTGTCGAGCGTGCTCATGAAAGCTCTGCGATTGCGAGCGTGCCTCACGAGTTAAGGAGGCCAGGCAGAGGTGAGGAGGATATAACTGTCAGTAGTGACCTTGATACACGGCGTGTCACTAAATTTGTGGTGTGAATGGTTTGATGACGCTCTAACCTAAATGCTGACAAAACGTCAAAAAACCATTTCGGGGTGCCGTTATTTCTATCTTGCACCAATACTTTAAAAATCCAGCCCCAAACCGAATTTCTCCTGAAATCACGATACCACCCAGGGCCCAATCAAGACACCAAAACAAATAGCTAACTTCCTACAGCATGACGAGCCATATTTAGCATATTCCGAATACCATATTTTAGTAAACTCGGTTGAGAATGTGACATAATGTAATTCCCATGGTTATGCGCTCTCAATATAACATAAGTGCTGCCATCCCTGAAGCATTATGAAAACCAGACATGAAATGGATTTTACAGTGCAATTGCAAAGTTAGGCATACGAACAACAGCGATTACGCTTGGTCCTCGCAACCTTTTTTTTCGTAGCAGAAGCATGAAAAAATGACAGCATATCCACAGGGTGAATGATGGAAAGTGAGGCGAAGCTGGGTCCGCACGCCGCTGCCGCGCCGCTTCGGCTTCCCGTTGCCGTACTGCAGGATCCTTGCGGTGCCAACGCGCAGCTTGGCGGCGCGCTTCTGCCTCGCACACCCGTACGTAGGGGTCCCTTCTCAGAGTGCGAGCTGCCGCCGCTCAGCAGCCTTGTCCATCCTCTGTCACCGAGCCTCTGAATGAGCGCGTGCCAAAACGACGCTTTTATAGTACAACAGAGTGCCCCCTGGTGTACAGCACCGCCAAAGAACATGCGATCATAGTCGGGCGATCGTCCCTCTCTCCTTCTGTACGTGTGACGTCAATCCTTCTTTTCTACAAGTAATGCCCTCTAGTGTTGTACCATTTGCATTTTTCAGCCTATAGTATCACCCTCTATGACCAGTTCAAGAATTAACGAGGGGCGGTTACCCAAAACGGGGACGCACAAGCCATGCCATAAGGAGCTTTGCCTCTAAAAAGTTATTGTAGCATATCTTGCATCCTGAAAACTTCACGCTCATTAATACTTTTCACAATTCCTTTTCCCGCTATGCTATACAGCCGAATATCGGTATGTGCCATGTTTGGCACAGAATGCATTTCTGCGAGGAAATGCACAGTATCTTCATATCAATGTTGCACAGTACAAATATAAACAAAGGGCAGCTTCCAAGATCATTCAGCACAGCTCTGTTGTGCAGGATTTATGCTGTGATTGTACTTTTTGAGATTAATCACGTGTCTCAGGTGCAGCAACAATACCTGGCATTTTTCATACATCAACGTGGATAAAAGAAAAAAATTGCGAGGTTCAACAAATGCAAGTCAATATTCAGCCTTTTGATTTTCTCAGCAAGTGGTGATCCCAACTTCAAGCTAGTGGTTGGTTTTTTTCAACAGGAGAGTATAGCAATGTGCCACCATGCGAAAGGCAAATGTGTAACGGGATATTTTGCACAAATGTGTAGGTGGTTTGGGAGTGCTATGGAGGTGGTATAAACCAAAGGTGCCTAACTGCACGACGTTCCAATAGGTGAACCTATCTTCTTCAAAGGTGCCTATTTGTCCATAGCGTGTGTTTTGAACAGATTGGTCAGTGACGCAATGACAAGGCATTCTAGTTTGCACCTTTGTGATGTGACACAATAATACTGGCTAACGGTATTGAAACAAGCACTCCTGACGAAGATAAGGCTAAACTCCACATCAATGCAAATCCATGCAAAGAGCGACGAAAGTGGCTATTGTGCAACAGATCACTTGGTCAATCATTCATTT